GTTAAATGCCATTTTTTGAGGATCCCGGACGAAAAAGCTTGGGTTCCTGGTGAAGGACTGTGGTCTCAGGACTGAGGCGGCTGGGACCATGGCATCTCTCCCTCATGAGGTAAGTCAAAGGTGCAAAGAATCTGAATTCCACACCTGGAAATTCTGGTCACATGAGTGGCATTACTCATGTGGTAATGCGGAGGGTAACATTACACCAGTGGCCTCTGGAGTAAAAAGGGAAACACTGGTGGGCTCTGGTTCACACTTATCTCCTCTTGTGGGCCCATGAGCCGCTGGGTGGGAAGCACTCGCTGTCTCCCCTTGGGAGCTGCCTGCAGGCACCCTGTGCCCCCCCAGCAGCATCCATGGGCAGGGACCAGGGTGATATAAAGTTTAGGTATTGGGATCATCTTTCTTTTGCATAAAGGGAAGATGCAGGAGTGTGAAATTTGTGTTATCAGCATTGTGAAAGCCTTTCCTGGGGCTGTGCAGCTGGAGGAGGTTTGGCCACTGGTTTGGTTGGGAGCCAGGAGGAAGGCCAACAGAAAGGTGTCATGTGAAGGAGAAACTGTGCTGCTCTCCTGGCCCTGTTTATGCAACTATATTTCTCTTCCTCTCATGTCTGCAAAACCTCAGAAAAAAAAAATGAGTGGGAAAGGTGGAGAAAGTCTGGAGCAGGAAAACCAGGTACCAACCCTTCCCTCCATTTTAAACTCAGGGCCAAACCCAACTGGGATCACAAGCACTACAAAATATGGTTGAGACTAATTACAACTGAGACTCAAAAGGCCCATAAGCTTTTGGAAAGGGGCTCAAAAATCCCTCAGATGTAGCCCTAAGCACTCTTTGTTTAAATTAAAAGTAAAAAAAAAAAAAGAGGGAAACAAAAGAGAAACAAAAATCCCCCTGGCTCTACCAACAGCACATGCACAAGTGAGTATGTTGGCAGAGAGCTTCCATGTGGGATTTGTATTGCTTGAGAAGGAAGGGGGGGAAACGACACACTGGAAAAGTGCAAGGATTCCTGTGCTGGTGAGGGGATTTGTTTCCTCTTCCAGCAAAACTGCAAAAGATAGAGCCGCTGAGGTAGGAAAAAGAGAACAAGTGCCTGAATGGTATAATAGTAATAGTCATAGCAGCAGTGATAGTACTGGTTCCCTGTGAGCTTTGGAGTGTGCTTGAGCCCAGCTCTCAACACGCTCAAGTTTGCTGGTCACTTCACTCTGCCTATCGTGTATTGGAGTTGATCCATCTGTAAAACATGACTGGTAAACTGCTAATGCACAGATTTGTAAGGAGCTCAGATCATTAATATTTTTTTCTTGCTTGGAGATACTTTATTAAAAAGCGCATGCAGGGCTAAATAATTACTTTTTTGTTTTCTTGAGCTGAATTACTCACTTTCGGAAAAAAACTATTTTCTGCAGATGCTCTATGAAATGTTTGTCCTAATGCTCATTTATTGTGAGTGGCACTGATGGAGCAGGTGCTAGTATGAAGCAGATGTATCTGTGTAATAGTTTACTTTGATGGCTCCTTTAAGAGGCTTCATAATCTTTATATTTTACCATTGGGTTTGGAATTTTATGCTCCTTTAACAGGTGTATTACCTTGATCAGATGTTTTCATTTTAAACTATTGACTTATGAGCACATGGCCTGCAGGGATTGATGTGCAGCAAATTGATTCCTTTTAAAAGATTTATTCTTATATTCTCTTTTTATTTAGTGTAGGAGTTCACTAGAAAACATAAATGATTGATAGTGACAGTTCATGACTAAAAAAGAAAGTGTCCTGCAATTAAAACCTTTGTTTCCCTTAGTTTATTAGTAGAAAGATATCAGTAAGGATGGGAATATACATAAAAAAATCCAGTCTAAAATCAGAGTTTAGTTTTCTGGTTTAACATTTAACAAAACCAGCTTTTAAAACATTTCTTCTCCACTCACAGCTACCATTGTTTCTGTGCACTTTTGTCGTTCAAAGAGTTCAAGCTATTTGAAGAGGATGTGTACAAAGATTACCTTAAAATGACTCATTGTAAAAGCTCCCTACCTGATGAATTTGTCCTGTTGGAACCAACATCTATTTTAATAGAATCCACTAAAAAAGCTCAATCTTTTCAGTCTGTGAGATGGAATGCAACAGCAGAGTCCTGCCATGAAAATAGCTTGTGTAATCAGTGGAATATAAATGGCAACAGCATCTTGTACTCCCTTTTATGATGGTGGAAAGAGAAGGAATTCAGTGGGCAGCCATATGACCAGGTTCTGCATGACTGAGGAGCTCACATTTTTGCATTGTGCTGTAGCACAGTATCTCTTGTGTCCAAGAGAAGGTAAATTGTTCCCATGCCTTGTGACCAGAATCTCTGTCTGGAGGAAGAAGCAGAATAAAGGACCATTATTTTAGCAGAGGCATTAGAAATCTGTGTGATTGCTGGAAGCATTGATTAACAAAATATTTTCTCCTAATGGCTAGTACCCTTCTGAAAATAAGAGTGGGGAAGCTGCTTGAAACAAAAAACTGCATGTATGTCTGGGCAGCCTACAGTTTTAAAGCACTGTCCATGCCTACAGAAGAGGCAAGGATATGACAATTACTGAAGGTTCAGTTCAAGAATAAATTTAAAGCAGTTTTATTCTACGAGTGAGTATTCTACATGAATGCATGACTTGTGTTGGTGCCAATGTGGGTGGCATTTGTTAGACTCTGGTTGGAGCCCAGTCTGCATTGCTGCATGAAATGAGTGCGATGAGGTCAGGTCAGTCCTTGCTGAATGATAATCCACATCATAAAGCTACTGTAAATGATTCAGCATGGTTTAGTATTATTTTCAGCCAGTGCCCAGGAGAGGCCAGGACTGAGCTAGCATTAAGAATGAATTGTCCATGCTTCCCACTCTTATATAACTGAGGGTTCAAGTCACAGGAAAGTATCTTAGGAAAATGAGCACAGCCTTTTTCACAATACAGATTATATGTCTTCCTTAAACAAAGGTTGTGAACCAGGGTGGAGGGATTGGATATGGTCCGTGATACATGTTTGGTTTTCAGGATCTCAGAACATCCTAGAGAAACTGAGTTATGATTCTGCAAATTGACTGAACTTTTAGAAAAGTTGTTGAATACCCTCTACTTCCACAGTGACCAGGGTAATTTGTCCCATTTTTGTAAGCAGTTCACATGTTTTGTTTGCACCTTTTAGTTTCTAAGTGGATATAATGTTTTAGTTTAAAGCTGGCAATTCAGTTGCAGACAGGTTTTTGCTGCAATTGGTGGCCACTCTGATTTTTTTACAGTCATTTTTTTTTTACTTTGATCTCTTACTAAGGCACCTTTGCAACATTAATTTGATTAAATTGCAGTTTGAGGTCATACCAAATTGCCATGTTCTTCTGTTGTCACCCACAAAAGGGTCTGAATAAGTTCCTCATGTAGATACATAGGTAGTTTTTTCATGTATTTGTAGAAGGCTACAAAATGAAGGCTGGGATACAGGACTTCAGAAAGGGACAGACCAAAAGAAAAGGGAGAAAATTTGCAACAATCAGAAACCATAATTCCTAATGGTCTAAATTCATTTTTTAGCAACTACATTCAAGCTGGACTTATGTCTGTGTGATTTCTCCACTTCATTGTGTAAAAAACATTAATATTGTGGGATTTTACTCATGTACTGGGACAAAAATAAAGCAGATCTCTGTGTGCTTCAGACTTGCCTAGCACGTCCAGCCAAGAACAGATGAAAACTCTGCCAAGAACTTTTTCATTGAAGAGTTTTCTTGAAGCTTTAAGAGGGGAAGATCACAGCTTTGCAGACAAAATTGCTGATTCCTCCTTAGGGTGCCACTCTCTTTCCTGCATTTGGGAGCATCCTGCAAACATGGGCAGGGCATCTGGCAAACCTAGGCTGGGTTCAGTGGCTGTGTTTGTGCGTGCTGCTCATGCATGAGGACCATTTGACTTGGGACTGACATAAGCAATATCTACTGGATTTTGTACCTGTAGTTTTAAGAATTTTGAAACCTTGGTGTTTTGCATTGCTGCAAAATTGTTTCACCCTGTCCCTGGGTGGTAGGAGGTCACAGCATTATTCGTGTTACTATCTCATGATGGAGTTTACTCGATCATCTATAATGTTGTACTAGTGCAGGCCCCACACTTGAGCTCGTCTTGCCTCATAGAAAGGTCAGTATCTTTTTTTACCCTAGTTTTTCAGCAGTTATATTGTTCTTACAAATGCACATGTGTTCTTTACTTATAGACTTTTCTATCCTTTAGGACTGTACAGTTATTTCAGAGGGGATTGTGTCCTAAAAGAGTAGAAAAAAAAATGTCTGTTTCTGGTTGGGGTCTTTTTTTGCTCTTTTATGTAAAGAAATGCCATGAAAAAGCCATGAAGATGGAGTTCATTATGTTAATCCCATCTCTGAAAGCACTGCTGTGCTGCGGGCCTTTGTTGTCAATAAAATGTCAACCAGTGGCATGTACAGCATGTTGTGCAGACTTCGAAATGGCGCAGCTGTGGTGCTTCTTCTACACAAGAGCTGAGGAATATGGGAGGGATTAATACTGGGTGCAAGCCCAAGTGTTAATACAGAAAACCAAAGCAAGGAAAAAACCAAACCTTACAAAGAGTTTTCTTCAGCCTATTTTTAAACATTGGTTGTCATTCTTCATACTTTATAAGACATCTGTTCACATTTCATAGTTTACCCCTAGTTCATCCAGGAAAGGTGGTATACTATTTTGCTTTCTCACAGGGGCAACATCTTTCCGTGTGTTCATGCCAGTGTAGAGCCTAATAGTTTCAAAGAAGAGCAAAACGTGAAAAATGGGGACCTTTTGGTGCTATAACATAGTTATAACCCTTAATGTATCATGTTTGTGATAATATGTGAGTCAGGTGAAATACCAGAAAGCACCTTGCCTATTTTAATTCCAAGAAAGAAGATTTTTGTTCAGCACTGACCCATTTTATGAAACTGTGGATTTTATGTTTCAAAGGACCTGATGTTTTCTTAGTATAACTGTGACCAGTTTGCAGGTCTCCTCTACTGTTGTGTGCATGCCTGGCTGCAGGAAGGTGAGCCAAATGCATTAATAATATGAGCCTCACCACCAGAAAGCAACGCAGAAAATACTACTTTCCTGGAAATGTATTTTTTAGGTGTGGTACAGAGACTAAAGGACAGCACCATTTTTCATTCTCCCAAGCAGTGAAACAGCAAAATTTGCCAGAGTCTGGTCATGGGTAAGGAGAGGAAGGAACAGGTAAACTACTCCTGTCCTAACTCTGAAATAAGTATCTCACCTTGTTTCTCAGGTATAATATTCAGAAATTCTTTGTATTTTCTTGGAGGAGTATCACCATCTCTGCTTTACACACAGCACTGGTACAGTGCTAGTCAGGAGTGTGCTTAAGTACTAGGTCTGTGTTACAGATCAGTGTCTACTGATTTTCAAGAAAAACTAAATACATTGGAATGAAGAGTGCAACGACACATACTGTGCTAGTAAAACTTCTGAGACCAGTGATTTAGTTTAGGATATATGAGGGATGAGGGTTGTCATGTGGGAGTAAGAGGTATGAGGGATGATGGTTATAATTTCAGGTCATGTAGGAAGTTCTAACCTAATACCTGACCATAGGATTTTCATCTTCATGCCACTCTCACACTGGTTTCAGTGACCGGATGGCAGAAGGGAGAGACACATTGCTGTCATTATTTGATACATGTGAGCCCCTGTGGCCTTCCCACTGTATTTGCCTAGGTCGAGCTTTGCCATCTGCATGGCTGGCCAGGCTCTCTGCTGTGCAACTCTATCCACCTCTCCCTGGAGCAGCTTTGTTAGGTTTCATATAATTACAATTGATGTCTCTCAAAAAATATTGCATGTTACATTTTATGTTCCTTTTTGACACCTTGTGATAGGGTTTCTTTCAGCAAATCACCATGTGCAAAATGTGGAAAGATTGCAGCTGTAAAATTAATTTCATTTGTATTTAGCCAGGTGTTGTTATTAAGAGACAACTGAAATCTGGCATCATAAATCCTCTTCCAGAAAAAAAAAAAAAAAGTATCTGCATTCAGTGTTTCTCTTGTCTTCCAGGCTTTTTTTTATTGTTTCACTCAACATGCTGATGGTGCCAGGTTCCTTACAGCCATTCTCATTTTGTCTCTTGCTGGTTGGTTTGCTGATTCAGTAGCTACAATATTGTACCCTCCCTCCTTTGCTCCTCTCCTTTCTTCCTTTCCTGCTTCCTTTTTCTCCTTCTCCAGTATGGGGGTAAACAACTTGAAAAGTACTTTCAGAAGCACATAAAAAGGTTACACTTGCAACCAGCTCTGCATCCAGGGATTCTGTGACAAAACATTCTATCAAACCTCATTTTTTTCAGTGTGGGGGCATCTCTTTTTATGTGCAATATGAACTGAGATGGTGTCGTTTTGTATGGGCTGGGGGTGTTACAGGTAGCTCTGAAACAATCTGCACTTAGAGAAAAGTAATTTTCTACTCGGAGGAGAATCTGGGTTTAGCACAGGGAGCCAGGGCTGTTGTCAGGGCTTTGGTAGGTGGTGTGGTCTGTTGGGCTAAGTTAGGCAACAGTACAGGACTTTGTAAGAGTAGGTATGAGGATGAAGAGGTGCTACTTTTGCACAGAGCCCTTGTGACTCAACTGACATTTCTACTTGGAAGAATTCCCTTTCTAACGGTGAGAAATATTTTAGTTTGTCTGCTTGGCCCTCTCTGATATGTTCCTACCTCACACTAATGCCAGTCGTATCAGATCATTCTAATTATAAATGTGACAGCTCTGAGAATTTGGATTTTAAAATCCTGGGGGGTTTACGCAACATTTTGTGACTCCAAACCAAAAAAAGTTACTAGTAGACTTAGCTAGGTTAGAAGGTGGTGTTTTAGCCACAAAAGTACCTAGTTCACACCCGGATTTGAGCCAGGGAGTACATCTGGTATATATGTGAGAGAGAGAAACGAGAGTATCCTATGCCTTGAGATTGGTATCAGCAGGGTCCCCTGTTTCCAACCATGCTCATTTGCTCTAAGTCATGAAATTAATTAATGGAGAAATTTTCTTGTAAAATAGAGCAGCAGTTCTGATTTACATGACTTCTGTGCATTTGCAAGTATTTTTCCCCCCTATGGCTAGAGCTGTATTAACAGGTTTTGTTCCAATAAGCGAACTAACACACATGTGTTAAGCAGAGGTATCGGGGAATCCAGTCTCTGCAACAACTCTGGCATTCCCTCCTGTTTATTTATTTGCGGTGATGAAGATGCCTCTGCTCTGTGCCATCTTTTTGCCCCCCAGCTTAGCTACTAAGCAACCTCTTTGGTGTCTGCAGTGAATCAGCACTTTTGGCAGGCTCGTCGTGCTCTGCCTCCAAGCACGACTCCGGTGCGTCACACAGACAGACCCCTCTTGGTCTGGTTCACCGCCGAAGGAGCAGGGCTCAGCCCTTGAGGCAGAAGTTTCCCTGCAGTTTTACAAAATAGCAAACAGTAGATCAAAAAGTTGTGCTGGATTTTACTTTCCTTTAGGACGAGAAGCTTTTTTGCTGAGGGTGATCCAGGGGATATTTGCAGCCCCATTTAAAGCACTGTGTGGGCATTTGGATACTTTGTAGTAAGTGTAATAAATATACTAAGAAATAAAAGAAATTTAATCTAGACACATTGCATTTTGAAAAGATGAACCTTATAAGATTCAGAGATGTTTGAGAATTTTGAGAAACTCTCTGTAATAACTGCAGAAAATAAACAAAAATCCAACAAACACAAGATCTCTCTCTCTCTTCTCTCCAAGTGTGTTTGCAAAACCTTTTTTAGGTCATGCTACCTAAAAAAAGGAAAGGAAGAGAAGTGAGTTCTATTTATTTCATTACAAGGCCAATTTTCACACCCAGGAAGGTCTCTCACTCCAAAGAAAACCCCACAGAAGATCCTCTGAGCCATTGGTAATGTGTCCCAAATTATTCATATCTTCTTTGGTCTGGCAATACAGAGCAAGAGGATGTTTGTAGACCCACTGCCTGAGTGAATAACACTTGAAACCACAGCTAATCTCTCTGAACAAGTTGGTGAATATGGTGTTGAATTAAGAACTCAGAGCAGGGCCCACGGGAAAGGATAAATCCCTCTTCACTGGAGTATGTGGAAAGGCTGTTACTGATGGGGTTGCAGAAGGGAAGGATCAGGTTCACTGTTTTGCTTTGAATGCATTTTTCTTAAATGTTAAGGGAAATCAAAATAATTTGCTTCCAAAAATTGTAACCAGTACAGTAGCAATATGCAGCAGGATTTGGAAGTCTCAAGCTTTATTTTTGTTGTTTTATTGTTGAATAGTTTTTTTTCTCCTTACCTTCAAATCTAAACTCAAATCTTGGCTGAAATCCTTCATGTGAATTTTCATATGTGGTTCTGTAGGCATTGTTTTCCTTGGCTTCCACTGACATAAATAGTTAAATAATGGAGGAAACTGTAACTATCTTGCATTACTTCTCTTCATCAGATAATTGGTGCTTTACAGGCCTAATATGCAATATGTTGATTAGTGCTTTTGTTACATTAAGGAGTTTATTTTTACCGTACATCAAATTTACTATAGATTAGTCTCCTGTATGCAGTTCATTACATGTCTTGGATGTGGTTTTTCAAAGTGATGTCAGCCTTTCCTCTGCTTGGGAACTGAGTCCTGCAGAAAATCATGATACAACATATGCACGCAGTGCCTGTCATCTTGAGTGAGGCATTGAGACTGGGGACCTGCAGGGCTCAAAATGAGCTTCTGATATTGGCTCTGAAGTGCCATCGCTCCCAGGGTGGTCTTAAGCAGACACTCCTCCTTCTGTAGGTGGTGCAGAGGGAGTGCCCCACAGCGTAGGTTGGTCAGTGGAGTGCAGCACATCCAATGGCATTCCTGTGTGTCCGTTTCGGACCATGTGTGCTGAAGTGTGCTCGCCTCAGCTGTGCAGTGAGTTGTATGAAAGAATGCATGCAGGTGCTGGCACTTTGGGTTGTGTGAATAGAAATGGAGCCTGTATTTTCAAAAGTGGTCCATTGTCTTGGGGATTAATGGGAAACTTGATCATCCAGTTATTGCTGCAACCGCATGCCCTGTGAATACACTGTGTATTCCACATCTAGTAGTATGGGTATGTTTTTTAAGGTGATGGTTGTGGAGAGGATTATGTTTTTTTTCAGTTTGCTTTATTAAGCCAATTAGAAATGTTCAAGACTAGGAGATGTTTTTCCAGGTCTTATGATCCCATTAGTTAAACAACCAGGGAGAAGTCAAGCAAGCAAGCAAGCAAGTAAGCAGACTACAGAATAAGCTGTGTAAATAAAATACAGTAACTAACTTTTGGTCAGGTAGCATCTTGCTGAGCAGTCTGATTATTGACTACCCAGGCAGTTCTGCTGATATGACCAACATAAATTCATCTTTGCTTCTTTTTTTACTGATGCTAATGCCAAAGAACCAGAGGAGCTCTAGGAAAGGAGAGCTGGATTCAATTCTGGTTCATGAATCACATATTGAATTGTCAGGAAAGGAACAAATTCTGCCCCAATTGCCACTATAACTATGATAGGTTGTACTCGTGTGCCTCAGGGCAGAATATGGTCTGAAATGAAATAGATGAGGTCAAAATCTGTTTTCATTGATCACAGAGAAGGCAGTGAAGCTGTAGAGGCAAATGTGACAGAAAAATATTGTCAGCAAGGACATTCCTCTTGCCAGTGATGCATCATGGCAAAAAGAAGGCTGTTTGATTTTCAACCTCAATGATGTCTTGGTCGGGTTGATAAAAAAAAAAAATCATTCTGTAAGCAAGTAAATTGAACTAAAAGTAAGACAGTGATTGACACTGAGTTGCAAGATGCCATTTATATGAAGTCTTTTTGCACTGAAAAAGAAAGGGGCGTTTTGTTTTTGTTGCAGAAAGTATTAATTTTTATTTTCTTTTTGCTTGTATTTTTAGGATCTTGCAAAAGGGAGACCAGGAATGTGGTTCCAGGAATAATCTTCTTTTATTCCATCAGATATATTCTGCAGCCCATTCCATAAAGATGACAATAATAAAAAAGCAAGGGACACAATATAAAAAACAACTTTCTTTCTGTTAGGGCGGATGGCTTTATAGAATAGATACTGAAGCAGCAAAGAACTGAAAGTGGTTTCTGAGAAG